GGACAATATGTAGAAGTGGTAATGGATGTTACATTACCCTTTGAGGACCTGGTGACATATGTATCCCATAAATTAAAATGAAAACCAAATGAAATTGAAACAACAAACACATGAACTCTACTTTATCTCCCTAATGGATTGCTAGGTCTAAAGAGGATTCTTTACCTTTCTTGTAGCCTAGTAGATGTAGATTAGTTTATAGAACTCTATATTCCTATCGTCTAATATAGTATAGTATAGTATAAGCAATTAAGGTAAAGTTCCCTTTCAAACCTGACGGTATATAGGGCAAGTGAAGTAGAGTTCACTTGTCTCTGTGACCTCGGCATATGAAGAAATAGTGTGGTCAGCACTATGCCCAACCGCCTTTAATTTCCCTAACATGAGTTAGGTACCCATCAGAGTTGGGTGGACTCAGGGACGGTCTACTGACTTGAACCCGGATTCGAACTTGAGACTTACGGATGCTATTAGCAGTCCAGCTCTCTACCGCTAGACCACTCCGTCCCTATAGTAAGATCTCTATACTTAGCCATTTCGAGTTTTAATGCGTTATGACCACTTCCAGATTTTTTCATGCGTACTTGTAGAGATTCCCCCTTTTTTTTAAAATGTTAATTCTTGCCATAGGAATCGAAGAATAAAATGTATTCGATACGAAGATTTGAGTAGTATTTCATATTTTAAATAAACTATATTTATTAATGAATGAATTAGCTCCTGTTTTACATTGTCTGAAAACCATAAGCAATAAATGAATTGTAGATAAGATAGGATTTCTGGGCAGATAAATAGATTATAAAAGGGCATTTTCAAGTAGATATAGATTTATTGCACATAAAAAAGATCTAGATCTAAATGGAAATGAAAATGCTAAAACAATAGTGGGTCTAGAGTCTAGAGATGTGTAAATATACAAAAAAAAACTCTATTAGGCCTAAATTAAAAATTATAATGTCCATTTTTATAAGCTGCAGTCTACACTGTTTTAGTTATAGGCAACTATAATGAGAAGAAAATTTCAACACAGAAACATGAACACTTTATTTAATTAATGTGATTTTAAGAATTTATCAAAGGAATGTTAACTTTACTAAACATTTTCTGATGAAGAATACTGTGAGTTACCATGTCATTAATACACTGACACAAATGCAAAGTTTATGGCAAATAGTTAAGTATTTCAATAATTGAACTGTATTTTATAGGCTCTATCTCTATATATTACATGTAAAATATGTATACTAGCTTTCTTATACCAGAATGAATATACCAAGTTTAATCATTATTTTTATAGTAGCAACAAAGAAGTACTTACTACTTAGTTTTAGTACAATATTGAAATTAGCCTGTAGTAAATCATCATATTCTAACAGTGCTGTACCATTATTCTAGTGCACTACTAAAGTTTCATGATAATGAAATAATGTAGGCCTATATGATTATGTAGGTCTAAGCTAATTTATTATTTAATTTCGTATTTGTATAAAAACTAATGAATAGGCTAGGAGAAATTGATAGTAGAACTCCATTTAAGCATATTTTATTCGCCTCTTTGCGTTCATCTCCAGTTGAGCGTATTTTATTATAAACACAACCGAAAGACACAAAAAAGTAGGAAAACATTGGGCTTATTTCTTTATGAAGTTTTGTATTAGTTTGAATAATTTACTTTTGTCAAAACTTGAGAAAAATTCCAAATTTGGAATAATGTGCTATGTTTGTGTGACTGTGACAAGATATTCATAGCAATGGGTGAAGTACGAAACTCATAGTTGCAAGGCGGTTACGTTTGTATTGATACAAGTATCTCCCATGCTTTTATGAACTCACAATGACCCCAAAACTGAGGCCAACACCATTTCAAATAGCTATACCCCGAACTATGACGTATGGTGAAGATTAAACTTTTAAAGTCAACAAGACTTACCCGGTCATCCCTTAGAGATAACTGTGGGTTTCGGGGGTCATCACGTCTGTCACTTATCATCACAAAATAACCAGACCCCACATTTAAAAAGACGTTTTTTTATCTTTTAAAAACACTGATTTTGGCTGAGCATAGGTCTGACCACACTATCCCTTCATATACTGACGTCACTCAACTCTACATCACCTGCCCAGTGTCCCGCCTAGTCTCAGACTACATGTTTTTATCATTTAAAAAAACGATTCCGGTCTCTGACCACACTATCCCTGCATATGCTTAGGACAAAGAAACAGATGAACTTTACTTCACTTGCCCTGCATCCCGCCAAGTTCAGATAGGCAACTTTATCATTTACATCTAAAAAAAAACAAATTGAATTTTTTTTTTTTTAACATTGACGTGATGTGTCTAGAATCAATGCCATCCGCATGAAAGCCTATTACACTAACAACTTAGCTATCTAGACTCGCGATGTCACTGATGTTTTATTGTGCTATATAATAATATGTTGAGTCTCCTTACGCAACTTGATTTACGGGCATAGGCCCTATCTCTAGATCTAGATCTAAGTCTAGTAACTTTCAAATTAAATTTTATCTTAAATTAGCCAATTCCATAGCTAAGCAAACAAAGATTTATATAAAATAATGAAGGTCTGAAATAGTTTAGTATAGAAACTCATTATTATTTAGATCTAGATAGAATTATCTAGATTCTACGACTGGTTGCTTAAGGGGGCAGTATCACCCAGACTAGGGGAGGGAAACAAAAACTATCACCAAAAAAAAACTATTTGACATACACATGTCAAATTTTTACAGCGATAGTAACGTTTCTTCTGCTATAATACAGTATATAAATTGTAGGGTATATGTGTGGCAATAAATTGTCAAAAAATTATTTTGTTAATATTTTATCACATTTTTAATTTTTGGTAAACATTTTTTCGAAACCATAAGTAAAGTACTTAAAATTTGGTATAAACCTTCCTTGCGTTAATGGCTACGTCCGGGACTAAGATAATAGTATTCTATTTAGAGATAAATTTTTTAGGAAATTTCAAAGTTCAAACATTTTGGGTCTGACTTTGAAAAATTCTAAAATTTTCAAAATCAGTCACAATGGATATCTCCTAGTCCCGGACATAGGCAACCCTGTGATGCATCTCCCAGAGTATTTTCGGAAGGAAGGGCCTAAATGTTAGAAAACCGCAGCCAAAAATTACTTAATAAACATTTTTAGGTAAAATTATTTATAAAAAATGTTTGCATCATACGTTAACTTTCTTTTATGTGCTGTATTATAGCTCCTTGCTATTTACTATTATGGTAAAAGATTTATGTGTGTATGTATAATAGTTTTTTTTTGGCAAATTTTTTCGTCAATTTTCAAATTTCTGGGTGATACTGCCCCCTTAAGTCTAGTTTTTGCGTAACTCTTGCTATATCTAGATTAGACCTATTCTAGATCTAGATAGATAAATTACAAAGATTTATATCAAGTATTTAAGGACTAAAGTAGTTTAATAAAGAAACTCAAAACGGTATTATGATTTTAAAATGGATTGTATTTTTAACTAATTAATCTTTGGTTTGACCTGGATTCTAGATCTAGATCTATAAATAACTTTCTTGGACAAATTGTAGAGCTAGAGAACTTTATTGTAAAACTAAATGAAAAAGACAGTTGAAAATGCATATAACTGTTGGAACGTAATAAATACAGCAAAAGGACGTATTGTAAAAGTTATAGCCGACAGAAAATTAGCTTAATAACGTGTTAGGCCTAAAGATCTGAATAAGCAACGAAATCTTGTATTGGAGCCGCAATTTATTGTACTAAAAAGTAAACAAATCATGTGACGTCACTATTCACTCAAAGTAATTTTTCTAAACTTTTAAAATTAATGTGGTTAATCTACCAATGAATAAATCAATAAATTAATTAACGTCTTTAAATAAATTTGTGCTTAACAGTCTGTCTGAAAACAAAAATTGTTCTCTACCTAGGCTACATACTATTTTACTATTTTACAGCTCTACACTCTACACTAGTCTACACATACTTATACTAACATAGGTAGCGTGTATTTCGAAAATTGAAAATTCGTTAGTTTCGGGAGGAAAAGATACCGATCGACGCGTAATTTTTTACTGAAACTACTTTTTATACTCTGTGTGTGTCTAGGAAAAGTTTATTTAGCCTATTTCGATTTTAAAATTTTTGTGTTTATAAAAAATTTGGATTAACCTGCCACCATTATTTTTCCTCTTACATTAAAAAAAAAAAGTGTCTCCGATATTGGTAGTACACAACTTGATGACGTCATACGCGTCAAATTATATTTTCGGACTTTTCGTCATTTTACTATAAATTGTTAATGTAGTATTTTATTATGAGTTTGACTAATCAAAATTTTATTTACTATACACAACTAGGCCTATTAATAATTGAATAAATTATTAGGCATAGGCCTACTGAAAACTTGAATTACAACCACCATGTAGGCCTAGTAGTAGCAAAATATTTTTTTTTTCTATTATTAGGTTTTAACATTTGTGTAGGGCCCTACATGACCAACAATTTCATACCAATACCATCGTCTAAAATAGTGAAAATGTTATAATATAGTTTATATAGACCCTCTACAAAGGTGTTCAGCTGCTTCTTATAGTAAGGCCTATTGATTATCAATATTAACCTTGCTTGAACACATTATAGTAAGTTATAAAAATTCATCTGTTAAGCTAGTGATACTAATTAATGGAACCATTATCTCTCACCACTATGATTATTTATTCATTCTAAATATTCAATATGTAATTTGGTGTCTAATAAATATATATTTATTTATTAATGGACTGCTTACTTCCAATAATTGTTGTTGCACTGTGAATTGCGCAAGTCTAGAGAAAAAACTTCAGCATAAGCTTATTTTATCAGAACATGTATATGAAGGCTTACTCATTGGAGATTGTTGTTTTTTTCTAGACATGTATAGTATTCATGTGGTAAGTGCAAACATGGTGTTACTCACAGACCCA